GCCTTCATGGAGTTTCTCCATCCAATCATACCAAATCTCCCTGAAGTAGCCACTCCTCTGGCTTTCCTTCTTATTTATATATTTTAAAGACAAAGTCACATTCTTTTGCCCAGGCTGGAGTGCAGTAGCATGATCATAGGTCACTGCAGCTTCGACCTCTTTGGCTCAAGTGATCCTCCTGCTTCAGCCTCCTGAGTAGCTGGTACTATAGGCACATCCCAGTTGATTTTTTAATTTTGATTTTTTTGTAGAGATGGGGTCTTGCTATGTTGCCAAGGCTGGTCTCAAACTCCTGGCCTCAAGTAATCTCTCTGTGTTGACATCCCAAATGCTGGGATTATAGGTATGAGCCACCACTTCTGGCCTCCCCTGAATTTTATAGTAAAAATTTTATAGTAAAAATTTTCTTGTATTGCTTTACAGTTTTATCCTCTCGTATGAATCCCTAGACAGTATAGTTTCTAGTTGTCACAAACCTTCCGTTTGTGAAAGGGCAGTGTCTGAGAAGTGCAGTAAAGGTGAAGCACAATGTAGGGGGTTCTGCCCCTGTGCAAAATGTTCTGTGTGCATGCTGACCCATTGGATTCAAAATAGAAGTTAAACTCGAGGGTGTTTACCAAGCTTCTCCCAGGCTACATTTAAATCTTCTTTCTTCGGATTAAGAACCCTGGTTCTCAATGACACGGGAATGATAAAATATCCCATAATTGCTTGTTCGTTCATTCCACCTTACACACAAAAGTCTCAGAATAACAATACAAATGCTATCACTGCCACTATCATTAATGAAAGCATTAAATTGTTTTGTGGATGTTGTACCCATTTTGGTCCCATTTTCGGTAACATTGTATCTATTTTGCCAGAGCACAGAGCAATACATACCATGCTCTCTCCCTTTTAATCCACATTATTGGACTTAGTTATTCAAGTAACTATTTAAAGCTTGCAACCAGTACCTTTATTGGTGCCTCACTAGACATTTTGTTTTTCTGAAGTTAATTCCTTAGCAAGTTCCTCAGGAAGGGCTCACACATGCTGGTAACAGTTTTTCTGTGCCATTTATGTATGGAAGTCAGTTTGTTGGCTCTAAACCTTAGGCTCACATTTTCTTTCATATTTTAAATGCTACTCCATTTTCTTATGGCTAAACCATTGCTGTCAAAAAGCCTGATGCTAGTACTATATTTCCCCTTACAAAGCTGTAAAGCACTTGCTTGTTTGTGTCGATGTCCGAATATATTTTTTAAGTCTAGTCGTTTTACTGGACTATATGACTTGGCCATTCTGGGTCAATATGATCGGGTTCAGGCTGTCTTTTTCAATGTATAATGCCGATGTGTAGTGTGTATGGAACTGTTTACAGAAATCAAGTTTTTATGTGCACAGATGCTTATCAACATTTTAGTGGGACGGCAGCACTGGTTTCTGGAATTCCATAAACAATATTTGGGGGAGGTTCTAGAGCAAGGATCATCAAACTACAGGCCATGGGCCAAGTTTGGCCAGCTGCCTGTTTTCTTGCAGCCCGCAAGCTGAGAATGGTTTTTGCCTTTGGTGAAATTTGAAATGGTTGTATATGTCACTATGCACAGTCCTCCATATTCCCTCTTGGCCCTGAGAGCCTAAAATATCTACTTATCTGGCCTTTTAAGGAAAAGCACGTTGCCTTCTGTTATGAAAGAACGATTACAGTAAACATGGGCAAGCATCCAGCGGACAGGGTAGAGGCCACCAAATCAGGAGATTGACTCGATTTGTTCTCGATGCCACAGACCTTCATCTCCTCATTTCTTTTTGCCTAGACATCCGCTTTCAGAACTTCCCACAGGGACTCCAGGTCCTGCCTCCACTTCCCATGACCCTTTCTATCTCTCTAGCAAGCTCCTCTCACAATGGGGCCTGATGAAGTCACTCACATTGAGGGAATTTACAATGTGCTGGAAAATGCTATTCATTCTGAGAACCTTTCATTTCTCTAGGGATAATGGCTTTAAGGAAAAGGGACTGGTGTCTGAGTTTTGAATTCCAAGATTCAGTGTGTATGTATGCGTGTGAGTGCGAGTGTGTGTTTATGTGCATGAGTGTGGGGCTATGTGAATGTGTATGTGTGCATGTGCCTGAGTGTGTGTGGGGGTGTGATTGTGTATATGGTATGTGTGAATGTCTTTGTGTGAATGTGGGGACTGTGTGTCTGTGTGTACAAGCATATGAGTGTATGGGAGTGTGTGTGAGTGTGTATCTGTGTGTATTTATGCTTGAGTGTGAGTGGGGAATGTGTGTGTATGTGTGTGTAGTGGGTGTGTGAGAGTGTTCAGGTGTGTGTAAGTGTGCACTTGTGTATGTTTATATTTGTGTTTGAGTGTGAGTGGGAGAATGTGTGTGTAGTGCGTGTGAGTATGTGTGTATATTTGTGTTTGAGTGGGGGTGGGGGATGTGAATGTGTATTTGTGAGTGTGTGTTTGTGTTGGGTATGTGTGTGAGTGCATGTGTGTGAATGTGAATGTGTGTGGGTATGTATATGAGAGTGTGTGTGAGCGTATGTGTGTGAGAGTGTGAGTGCTTGAGAGTGTGTATTTGTGAGTGTGTAAGAGTGTGTGAAGGTGTGTGTGAGTGAATTTGTGTGTGGGCATGTGTGAATCTGAGTGTATTGGGTCTGCGTGTGTGTGTGTGTGTGTGAGAGTGTAGGTGTGTGTGTGTCAGGATGTGTGTGAGTGAATATGTGTGTGGGTGTGTGTGAGTTTGTGAGTGTATTGTGTCTGCAAGTGTGTGTGTGTAAAAGGGTATGTGTGTGAGCGTGTGAGAGTATGTGTTTGAGGGTATTGTGTGAGTGTGAGTGAATGTGTGTGGGTGTGTGAGTATATTGGGTCTGAGAGTGTGTATGAAAGTATGTGTATGAGTGTATGTGTATGAGTAAATGTGTGAGCATATGTGTGTGAGGCTGTGTGTGTTTGTGTGAGGGCATGTGAGTGAGAATGTGTGTGTGAGAGTGTGTAACTGACTGTGTGAGGCTGTGAGTGTGTGTGAGCGTGAGGGTGGTGGTCATGGTGAGCTGGTGGACTGGGATGCTCCTGGGCTTCGGAGGTGCTCCGTGCCTCTCTTCGCAGTCATCCACGGGATCTGGCGCCTGGACCTGGTGAGCAATTAGCACAGTGCATCTGATGACCCCCTCTCAGGCCAGGCAAGCTGCAGGGGTTGTGAAAGGAAGGACTGCACCGGCTCTCCTCGCTCCCCACTGGGACTCGGTTCCCTCCCGGGGGTGGAGGGCTCCGGGGCTCTGCAGGTGCAGGCCTCAGCACTGTCAGGACTCTGGTGAATGAGCCTTGAGTAGATGGAATGAGCAAGTGTGTTCTTGGGCGGGAACGCATGATGTCGTAAAAAGATCACGTGTGTCCAAATTGCAATCCCAACAGGATTTCTTTTGGAGTAGAATTAAATGATCATATTGCAGAGGGAGGGAGGAAGCCTGAAAATTTCCTGGAAAACAATGCGAACATTAGTGAAGAAAATTTACACTACACACTGAAAGTAATCAAACCGGTATTGTTTTAGTATAGGAACATGTGAATTAATTAATAGAATAGAGGATCCAGAAATAGGTTCTAATACATAAGAAAATTAAATTCATGATAAAAGTAGAATCGACATTTTATTTAGAAAAGTTGGCTTGTCTGAAAAGTGATGCTGGCACAACTTGCCGGTTGTCCATCTGGAAAAATATAACGTTGGACCACTATGTCAGACCGAATCCAAAAATAAATTGCAGTTGGATTAAGGACATATGCTTAAAAAATCACTAAAAATTGTAAAGGCAATTTTAAGGGTGAGGAGACATTGTTAACAAAGAAAACTGAAAAGTTATGGGGTGATAGAAACGCACATCACAGTCTATATGAACATTCATTGCAGAAAGAAGCCAGGAACAAAATTTAAAAATAAGTGATAGTTTTGGAAAATGTGTTTGAATGAAAAGGACAAATAAAGCTCTGATGTCTTACAAAAATGACAAGTGAAAAGAGAGACAGATGGGTCCAGCATGTGAACAAAAGGACCTGGGGATCTCCCCGGAAGCAGGACTGCCTGTGTCTAAGAAGTTTAGGGAGGCGTGATTTGGGGTGGGAAAAGATCCCATCTCAGCTCAGAGACTCCCTCAGTTCCCAAGCCCCCAGATCCTCCTCAGTGGCCACGGGGTGGCCTCAGTTCTCCCAGCCCTGCCCCGCTGGCCCCCGCATGTCCTTGGGGAGGCCTGCCTTCCTTCATCCCTGCCGGGGTCCCCGCCCTGCACGCCTGGCCAGCACCCACATGTTATGGAAGCAACGACTTTCTTTACCTCCACCAGACCAGGGGCTCTGCGGTCAGCTTCAGGTGCCTGCCGGGTTCCAGCGACACCATGAGGAGCGCAGTTAATACCTGCTGTGGAAATGGGTATGAATTGCATAAGAGTTTTGTGTGTCCCCTTCCCTTTTACAAATTCAGCCAACATTTAAAAACGGATAGATTGTAAAAGCTACCTTCCTTTCTTTTCTTTAAAGATGGGAAGATCTGTCCTCTGGATGGAGCAATGGCCATCCCGGAGCTGTGAGGCGTCTCCCTTCCAGTTCAGAGTCCGCCCCGACCCTGCAGGCATTTGAGTTTGAGACCCCAGAATCTGGCTTCTCCGGTGTTCTCTGTAGCTCTGGGGCCACACCCCTGTTTTGAGTCGGCTGTATAAGGGTGCTTCTCAGGTTTCTGGGACCATTCTTCACCAGATCCTCTGTGAACCTTGGCTTTGATTAAATCTAAGTTTTCTCTCGTGGTTTTTGCCTTTAGATCCAGCATACCTGGCTCTTGTATTCCCAGCTTCTAAAAATGCCAGCTTTATGGTTTATATCTAACCATCTATCCATCCATCCATCCATCCACGTACATGCATGCACATACACGTACATGCACATATGTTGTGTGCACATACATATAATTTTAAATATATGTGTTTATTTATAAAATAGCGTTTAGGCCAGCTGTCTTCCAGATATTGAGACATGATTTTCCTATACCCTGGAAGCAGGCAGAAATAATTATGGGGCAGACTTTTGTGCTGTGTCTTTAGGGATTTGGGGGATGCCTTCATCACACTGTCCACTTTCTTCCTGTTCCTGGCTCTGCCATCCGGAGCAGTACCGGCTTTCCAGCAGAAGCCACGTCTTGGAAGAGCTGCACACCTGCCAGTTCTAATCACACCCTGGTCTTACTGGCTCTTAGGAAAAAACAGAAACAAAAACCAACCAACCAAACAAACAAAACCCTTGGAACTCATTAAAAACTTAGGACGCTCATATTTTTTTTTAAAAAAACATTATTTTTCTTATAATAAGGGATATATGGATTACATTTTTTAAATTAAAGATTTTTTTAAAAAAGCTTTTGCGTCTCTCATGGGGATATCTGTGCCTTATCATGCAGGGCTTGGCTGTCATCAGAGATCAACTGGCAATAAGCTAGCACTTCTCTTACGTGATCTGAAGAGTCTCAGGCTACATGGCTCCCACCTAGTATTTCCTGGTACTGGCTTGTGTTTTGAACACATCTGCAAGACACCCTTGGTTGACTCATTAATTCCTTGTCATGCTCTCAAAAAAAAACTTTAATGGGGCTATTTTCTATGTTTTTAGCCCAGCATGATGAGCTTTTTCCTTGAGATTTTCTAAATTTTCCTGTAGGTCCTGAGAATCCATCCCCTGATCAGCTCTTGATGTAATTTCCAGGCTTGGTGTGAGGAAGGTGGTGAGTTTTTACAATTTGCTCTTTTTAAAACACTCAGGGAGACAGTGGTTTTAATCATCCCAAGCCTGCCACTCAGCTTGGTGGCCCCATTTGTGTGTCTACCTGATCTCATAGCAACGTCGCACCCAGTGGCAGATTTCTTGAGAAAAGCTGGGGATGATTCATTGATGGCATAGGTGAAAATAAAAAGAGCTTCGTAAACTTGGGTGACAGCTTTGAAAGGTGGGGAGCCAGAGCCTTGGGTTGATGAGAACCATGAAGACCTGCCCTGCTCAGGCAGAAAGAGGTACGCCTCTGTTACCAGCTTTATGCCTCTTGTTTATTTCTAATAGGCTCCACATGCACCACTGATGCCCTGGCTGTGTTTGTCCTGGCTGCACTCACGAAGAGCAAGAGTGATGACAATTTTGAACATACAACTCAGGCTCTCACTTCTTGTAAGAAGAAGTACCACTTGTTAGCCATTTCCTAAGGGCCAGCTCTGCTGAATATTTCAGTTTTGACTCTCACAGCAATCCTAGGAGATGAATGCTACCTCTTTCCACATGTGACAGATGAGCAAACTGAGTCTCTAAGAATTTACATAACTGGCTCTGGCAGGGCCAGAGATTGCACAGGGCGCTGCCTGACACCCAGGCCAATGCCAGACCACATGGCGGCCTGTAGCGTGGAGGTGAAGAGCTCCCACCCAGAGGCCAGACGGCGGAATCTTTTCTCTGTACTTGCTTGCTGGGTGACCCTGACCTCTCGGGATCTGTTTCCTTTTATACAGAATGTGGACAGTAAAGGGCCTCTTCATAGCGGTGGTGCAAGCAGTAAGGAATTACAACACCAAAGCTCACAGAACAGTGGGGCCGCTCATGTGAGCATGAGATGTCGTTGCCATGCCATCTCCAAAGAGCAAAGAGAATTCTTGGTAAGAAATGGAGCTTATATTTTTAGAGGTCTGTTGGGTCAATATTCACATTATACATTTTCCATTAACTTCCTGCCCTCTCCCTTTTTATTTTCTTTCACTGAACTCTGGATTTCAGCCATGCCCAGTGTATATGCTTCACAAACTCCCGATATGCACATGATTGGTATCTGCACTATAACACCATGTGTGCTCCTATGTGGTGTTACATCTGCAAAAATGAAATCTGTCACTCACATGACGGTTACGTTACCTGTCAGAAGGACAGAATTCTGGAAGAACAACTCTCATTTCTCAGTGAATGCATGGTTCCCCCAGGGATAAAAAGGTGTCTTTGCACGATCCTCTGCTCTCCTCTCTCTTAATGGGTGCGCCAGAAGCACGCAGTCAGGATGCCAGCCAGCATCTCCCGCTTGGGCCTTCATTGTTCTTTTGGTGTTTAGGGTGCTACAGGGACCCTGGATTCTGTGAGGCCACTTGTCCTCTCACCCATCCCCTTCTCAGTTTCTGCAGGTCATCCACTCGTGGGTGGACCCAGAAGTCCCCAAGGAACAGCTTCACACCGTCACCTCTTCTACCTTTCCCAGCCCATGCCGTCTCAGGAACACCATAAAAGAACTTTTATAAAACCATGAAGCTGGCAGCAGTGAGCAACCCAAATGACAAGTTTGTATTGATTGGGCACTTATATTACATGCATCAGGGTTAAATTTCATGATCATTAAGACACAATTTTGGCCAGACGTGGTGGCTCAATGCCTGTAATCCCAGCACGTTGGGAGACTGAGGTGGGCAGATTGCTTTGAGCTCAGGAGTTCGAGACCAGCCTGGGCAACATGACGAAACCCCGTCTCTACAAAAAACACAAAAATTAACGGGGCATTGGTGGCACGTGCCTGTAGTCCCAGCTATTCAGGAGGCTGAGCCTCGGAAGCAGAGGTTGCACTCCAACCTGGGCAACAGTGAGACCCTGTCTCTCACACACACACACACACGACACAATTATGACTATGCCCCCGTTACAGATCCAAAACACAGGCGAAGGAGTTATATCTTAGTCCAGAGCCTGGATTAAAATCCAGACCTGTTTGTGCCGTTGCCCCATAAGTGGGCAAGCAGCTCCTAATAGGGTTGGGTGTAAGTCTCCTCCACTAAATGTTCTTTCCCAAAGTTTGCTAGGACCTTGGCATCCCTGGGGCTGCAGGCTGTTGTCCATAACACGGAGACAGTAAGCTTCAAACAGCAGAGAGAGCATCTCAGACCCAGTAGCTGCTAAAAGCTGCAGAGTGCCTGACTTGGAGCCAAGGATATATTTATAACACAGCGCTGTTAAAATTACCCATTTAGAAGGTATTTTTCTCAAGATTTCCCTTGGGTAACTCTGAAGGGCAAAGTAATTCTGAACCCAGAAGCACACAGTGTTTGCTGTGCCACCTCGTAATGGAAATAATACCAGCTTAACTGCTCAGGGCCTCTGAATTCAGAAGCAAGCTGAGGCATAACATGTAATGGACTGTTTTTCCAACACCAGGTAATGCTCATAGACCACAAACATTGTGTACAGTGAATGCAACTTTTGATCATTATAACTAAAAACTTCCAATCAATTTCTTTTTTCTCACCTCCATATCCAGCATGACTGGAAGCCTGGTTTTTTTTAACCTTAAAAAATATATCCAGGATTTCTAGTTCAGCTTCAAAATGTAAAGAGTTTGAAAGTCATTACTCCCATCCTTCCAACAAGAAAAGAGCTAAAAAAGCTATAACTCAAAAACCTCTTTTCAATCCATCAGAGCGCTAGAAGGTTGCAGCCACCCAGATCTGCTTATCTGGACCAGACGTCACTGGCGCCGTGAGGTAGGAGCATGTAACTGGTAATGTTGTTGGATTGCTGGAAGCTGAGTATGGACTGGGGTGAGGGTGGGAAATTCCTAGGACTGCAGTCTTAGGGGGCTCCATATTTTTGTAGGCTTTTCCTCTAGGAATGCTACCAGGTTCTCACATCGAAGAGCCAAGGAAAATCTCCTTGTTGTCTTTGGCAAAGGGAGGGGAAATGTAACCATTCTGAGATATATCCAGGGTATTTTCCATAACTAAGGCTCCACCAGCAAGGGGAAATGCTTAGTCAGAGCCTTATCCCAATCTGGGGGCTCCGGAGGCAGAGGCTACAGTGGGCCAAGATCGCACAATTGCACTCCAGCCTGCGCGAAAGAGTGAGACTCTGTCTCAAAATAAATAAATAAATAAATAAATAAGGATAATTGATATGCTAAGAGAGGAGAAAAAGTAATTTACATAAAATGGTCAACTAAAACTAATGTAGGCAGAAAAGAAGATGAGATAGACACAAAAAGTGCAACAAGTAGAAAACAGCTACAAACATGGTAGATATTAATCCAACCATATCGATAGTCACTTTAATATGAATAGTCTACATATAATTAAAGGACAGAGATTGTCAGGGTGGATTAAAAATAAGACACAAGTCTCTAAATTTAAGCACTCGGGTAAGTTAAAGAGCTGAAACAAGATATATTATTCTAACATTAACCAAAAGAAAGCTAAAGTAGATATATTAGTTTCAGGCAAAGTAAATTTCAAAATATGGAAAATTATCAGAGATAAGGAGGAGTATCACTTAATGATAAATGGGTTAATTCTGCAAATAAAACCCGAAAACATGAAAATCCTTCATATCTATAAATCTCGCAACAGAGCATCAAAGAATGTGTAGCCAAAACTGATAGAATTGAAAGGAGAAAAAGACACATTGATTATGTAGTTGGAGGCTTCAATATTCCTTTGTCAGTACTTGGTAGATTAAGCAGGCAGAGAAGATATGTGAGGATATAGATGATCTGAATAGCTTTATAATTAGCTTTATTTATTTGACATGTATAGAATACTCCACCCAAAAAAAGCAGAGTACATATTCTTCCTAAATTCATCTTTACCACGGCAGACTACACTCAGGGCCATAAAACTCTTCTTAAATTTTAAAAGAATAGAAAACTTCTGGAGTATGTTTTCAAACTACATTGGAATGAAACTAGAAATCAATAACAGAAAGAGAGCTGGAAAATCCCTAAATATTTGGAAATTGAGCAACAAAAGCCAAAATTGTACATTGGTCAAAGAAAAAGTCTCATAGAAATTAAATATTTTGATCTAAATGAAAATAAAATACTATTAATCAAAATTAGTTGAATGCAGCAAAAGCAGTGCTTTGAGAGAAATTCATAGCATTAAATATATATGTAAGAAAGGCATAAAGATCTAGAATCAATAACCTAGGTTTTCATCTTAGAAAACTAGAGAAAGAAGAGTAATTTAATCCTAAATCAAGCAGAAGAAAAAATATTAGAGCAAAAATCAAGGATGTTTTGAATGCAAAAATGGTAGAGAAAAATCAATAAAATTAAAAGCTATTTCTTTGAAAAGATCAATAAATTGATAAACCTCTAGCCATGAAAACCAAGAAAAGACAAAAAATACCAATACCAGAAATAAAAGAAGGATCATTACTATTGATCTATGGACATTAAAAGGAATACTATGAACAACTCTAGCCCCTACATTTGATCACTTAGAAGAAACGGACCAATTTTTTGAAAGACATAATTTACTAAAACCTACACAAGGAGAAACAGGAGAGGCTTCCTTAACTTGATAATAAAACATTAAAAAAAAAAACCCTACAGCTAACATCTCAGTTAATAATAAGAAACTGAACCCTTAACCCCTAATATCAGGAACATGGCAATAAAGTCCTTCCTCACCACTTCTTCATTGTACTAGAAGTTGTAGCTAGTGCTAGAAAAAAGGAAATAGAAGTTATGCATTGGGGAGAAATAACACTGTCTTTATTTATAGATGACATGATTGTCTATGTAGAAAATCCCAAAGAATTGACAAAAAAGTCCTGGAGCTAATAATACTGTAAACCATAGGACACAAAGTAAACATGTAACATTCAGTTGCTTGTGTCTATATCAGCAATGAACACTTGATATTTACAATACGAAAAACTTCATTTACATTATATATTGAATTGTGTTCCCCTACTTCCAAAAAAGTATATTGATGTTCTAATCCCCCAGTACTTCATAATATGACCTTGTTTGGAAATAGGGTCATTACAGATATGATTAGCTAAAATGAGGTTATACATGACAAGCTAGGCCCTTAATCCAATGTGACTGGTGTCCTATTAGAAAGAACAGCGTGTGTAGAGACAGAGGCAGGCACAGAGAGAAGATGTGAAAACACAAGGAGAAGACAATCTACAAGGCAGGGAACACCTGCAGCTGCCAGCAACTGTAAAACAGGCATGAGACAGAGCCTTCTCTCACAGCCCTCAGAAGAAATCAACCCTGCTAGCACCTGGATTTTGGGTTTCTGGCCTCCAGGACTGTAAGACAATAAATTTCTGTTTAAGCCACCGAGTTTGTGGTACCTTGTTAGAGCAGCCCTAGGAAACTAGCACAGAATAGCACACACACACAAAAGGAAAAAATAGAAGAGCAAGAAAGAAAGATATAAAAGAAAAACTTGGAATTCTGTGGCATAAACTTAACAAAGTATTACAATATCTGTATGTGGAAAGAGACAATCTTTTATGAAAAGATCAAATAAAGTGAACTGGATTGCATGTCCTTGCACTGGAAGGCTTAATATTCTTAAAATGTTAATTCTTCCCACCTTGATCTATAAACACTAGCAATAGAATGAAAGAAGACACAGGCCAGGCGCAGTGGCTCACGCCTGTAATCCCAGCACTTTGGGAGGCTGAGGCAGATGGATCACCTGAGTTGGAGACCAGCCTGGCCAACATGGTGAAACCTCGTCTCTACTAAAAATACAAAAAATTAGCCAGGTGTGGTGGTAGGCACCTGTAATCCCAGCTACTTCGTAGGCTGAGGCAGGAGAATCACTTCAACCCGGGAAGCAGAGATTGCAGTGAGCCAAGATCATGCCATTGCACTCCAGCCTGGGCAACAAGAGCAAAACTCTGTCTCAAAATATAAAATAATAAATAAAAAAAGAGAAGACACACACTGGGAAAAAAATATTTGCGAAGCACATTATCTTTCAAAGCACTTGAATCCAAAGTATACAAAGTACTCTTTAAATTCAACAATTGGGAAACAAACTACTCAATTAAAAAATGAGCAAAAGGGCCGGACGTGGTGGCTCACCTCTGTAATCCCAGCACTTTGGGAGACTGAGGTGGGTGGATCATCTGAGATCAGAAGTTCGAGACCAGCCTGGCCAATATGGTGAAACCCCATCTCTACTAAAAAATACAAAAATTAGCTAGACGTGGTGGCAGGCACCTATAATCGTAGCTACTCAGGAGGCTCAGGCAAGAGCATCGCTTGATCCCGGGAGGCAGAGTTTGCAGTGAGTCGAGATCACGCCATTGCACTGCAGCCTGGGGGACAAGAGTGAGACTTTGTCTCAAAAAAAGAAAGAAAGAAAGAAAAAAAAAAAAGAGCAGAAGATCTGAAGAGACACCTCACCAAAGAAGATATACAAATGGCAAGAAGAGTTTTGGAAATAATTTCTTAGTATTCTTCAAATAGCAGGTGTAATATCACAGATATGCAGCTTCTATACTCTGCATCCTACCACTTATTAGTCACCTCCCTCTTTTGAGCCTTATAAGTCATGTAAGGGTGATGGAGAGTTGTTGTGAATATTTTAAAAGACAATAAAACATGTGTCTGACAGAGTAGATTATCAGTAGATCTTAGTTTCTGCCTTTAAAAATGCAAAATGCTGTACAGTTGACCCTTGAACAACAAGGATTTGAACTATGTTAAGTCCACTTATATGCAGATTTTTTCTTTTCTTTTTCCTTTTTTTTTTTTCGTTGAGATGGAGTCTTGCTCTGTCACCAGCATTGAGTACAGTGGCAGGATCTCAGCTCACTGCAACCTCTGCTTCCCGGGTTCAAGCGATTCCCCTGCCTTAGCCTTCTGAGTAGCTGAGACAACAAGCACACACCACCACACCTGGCTAAATTTTTGTATTTTAGTAGAGATGGGGTTTCACCATGTTGGCCAGGATGGTCTTGATCTCCTGACCTTGTGATCCGCCCACCTTGGCCTCCCAAAGTGCTGGGATTACCAGAGTGAGCCACTGTGCCCAGACGGAGATTTTTTCAATGAAGTTTACACGAAGTGTGCCTGCCTCCTCTGTCCCCCTTTTCCACCTCCTCCACCTCCTTCATCTCTGTCCCCTCTGAGACAGCAAGGCCAACCCCTCCTCTTCCTCCTTCTCCTCAGCCTACTCAACGTGAAGATGATGAGAACCAAGATATTAATGATGATCCACCTCCACTTCGTGAATAGCAAATATATTTCTCTTCCTTATGATTTTCTTAGTAACTTTTTTTTTTATTGTAAGAACAGAGTATATAATACATTTAACATACAAAATATTTGTTAACCAACTGTGTGTATTATCAGCAAGATTTCTGGCCAATAGTATGCTATGAGTAGTTAAGTTTTGGGAAATCAAAAGTTATACACAGATTTTTGACTGCATGGTGAGTTGCCGCCCCTAACTGCCATGTTGCTCAATGGTCAACTATGTTTAGGTGTTTGGCTCACTGTGAGTTTTGACATCAATTCTATAAGAAACTTAACCTTGTATGATCTTCTGCTCAGCAATGTAAGTCTTAGTCATATTCATGGGAAGCCTCTTCAAATCAAACCCCATGTTTTCCTATTTATGATGATATTGTTCTTGTCCCCTAGACTGCTACAGCATCAGCTAGAAGAGGCTGCCAGGACCACAGTTCCCAAAATAATGCAGAGAAAGTGTGACAAGCTAGACGATCAGTCCTCTGAACTGAATGCATTGCACGTTCAGATTCTCTAAACTAAACATGCGTGATCATAATATTTCTTTTGAACTGTAAAGACAATATGTTACAGAATTTGGAAAAATAGATAAAAATATCACCCGCTGTTCTACCACATTCACAAAATATATGAGTTTTTTCCTTCAACCATTGCAATCTGGGTCCTGATACATCTGTGTAAAATAACACCAATATGAAATACAAAGTAAATGTTTCTACTTCATGTGCGTTTCCATGGGCAGACTCTTTCTGCTGATGAAGGCCTGAAGGCAGAGAAGACACAGCATCATCACACCCTTGGTCAGTTCCTCCAGGAAAGCAGAAATTGGAGGATTTTCCCAATCGAGCTCTTTTCAGAAAAAAATTAGTTTCTTCAGGGATATCTGGAAAGGCTGCATCTCCTGATAAGCACATGCATTTTGTACAATGTTCCGTAATCTGAAACTCTTTTAGATTTTTTTTTTTTTTTGCTAACACATACTTTTCCCATAAAACTGCCCCTAGGGGATGTACTACATGAATATTTAGGGGATGTTGCCAGGATGGATGGTCTCTAACAAGCAGGGAAACATGCTTTTACCTAGAAAAGGAGACCCTTGAGACCCTGACAGAGCTGGGATGGAATAACTTAAGTTCTTCCTAAAAAAGCAACGGAGGCTTCAAAGAAACCCAGTCCTGCCTGTCGAGGTGTTTCCTGCTGTTCCGCGACAGCAATCCTGTGGCCTCCAGCCTTGGCTGGCCAGACCCCACCTGGGTCCTTGGAGACAGAAAGCAGAAGCCAGTTTCCTGACCTGTTGATGCTTCATCCTCAGGAGCATTCTGGCATTCAAAGGGCCAAGCAAGGTTTAGAGCAACTTGAGGCCTTCAAGCCACTGTCTTGTTAGAGTTCTGGAAAGCCAGCTCCTCAGAAGTCACCTCAAGCTTTCGTCCCTCCAGCGCCAGCTCTTCTCCAGCTCCGTAGCTTCCTGTTCGCTATTATATATTAGAAAATCCCCTCCTCTCATCTCTCATTCTTGGTGTGGTCGCTGATACAAACGGCAGACAGTCCTTTGTATGGATTTATAGCCTACAGGCCACGTCCCCACCTTCTCTCTCATTTAACCCATGTGTCATTTTACTGAAGAAGAAATGGAGACTTGGAGAGGATCTGTTGCTGGAAAGTGGCTCCAACTCCCAAGTGGTGAATCCAGAGCCGGTAGCTCTTGGTCACTCGGCACCTGCCCCAGCTTTTCTTCAGGGCTGTGGAGCAGTGGTTTCTGTTCCACCCTTCTCAGGGAGGGATCTTTCAAGCTTGCCTCTGCCACTGTATTGTCAATTGGGCCAACAGTACCCCCACACTTCTGGAGACGCTGCTGCAGGATTGCTGCAGGACTGATGACCTTCTGCGGGATCCTGTCACCTCAGGATCACCCCCTCAGCCTGTGTTAGGGTCGTCTTCAAATTGTAAAGGGAACAGGAAGGTAAAGATGCTTGAGGGTAAGCACCAAGGTAATGGGATAACTTTTCTCTTTTCATTCTAATGAATGTGTGTGTGTGCAGTGTGAGTGTGCGTGCATGTATGCATGTGTGTGTGCAGTGTGAGTGTGCGTGCATGTATGCATGTGTGTGTGCAGTGTGAGTGTAGGTTTGTGTGTAGTGTGTGTATTTGTATGGTGTGTGTGATATATGGTGCATGTGGTGTAGGTTTTTGTGTGGGTTTGATGTGTGTGCTTGTGTGTATGTGGTGTGAGTATGTGTGGTATGTGGTAAGTCTTGTGTGTGTGTTTGTGTGTGGGCAGTGGTGTGTGTGTGTGATGTATGTGTGGTATGTGGTGTGTGTCTGGTGTATGTGTGATATGTGTAGGGTGTATGCATTTGTGTGGTGTGTGTATGGTGTATGTGGTATGTGGTGTGTGGTATGTGCGTTTCTGTGTGGGAGTGTGTGTGTGATGTGTATGTAGTGTGGTACATGGGTTGTATGTGGTGTGTGTCATTGTATGTGGTGTGTGTGTCTGAGTGTGGGGGTGTGTGATGTGTATGTAGTGTGGTACGTAGTGTGTGTTTATGTGTGTGGTGTATGTGTTTCTATGGTGTGTGTTTGTATGTGTTATGTGTGGTGTGTGTATGGTGTGTGTGTTTGTGGTGTGTGTGTTTGTACAGTGCATGTGTGGTGTGTATAATATATGGTGTGAGTTTGTGTGTGTGTATAATATATGGTGTGAGTTTGTGTGTATGTGTATGTGTGTGTGTTTGTATGTGTGTGGTATATGGTGTGTGTGTGGGGGGTGTGTGTGTGTGAGATTTGTATGGTATGTAGTGTAGTATGTGTTTGTATGGTGTGCTGTGTGATGTGTGTGGTATGTAGTGGTATGTAGTGTGTGTTTGTGTTTGGGGGGTATGTGTGGCGTGTGTGTGTGGTATGTGGTGTGTATGTGGCATGTAATGTATGGGGGTTATGTGGTGGTGTGTGTGTGTCTTTGTGTGTATGTCTGTGTATGTGTGGTTATGTGGTGTTTGTGTGGTGTGTGTGTGGTATGTGGTGTTTGTGTGGTGTGTGTGTGGTATGTGGTGTTTGTGTGGTGTGTGTTACGTGATGTGTATGTGTGCTTGTGTGTATGTGGTATGTGTTTTTGTGGTGTGTGTGTGGTATGTGGTATTTGTATGTGTGTTTGTGTGGTGTGTGTAGTATGTAATGTGTGGGGGGGTATGTGGTGGTGTGTGTGTGTCTTCGTGTGTGTATGTCTGCGTGTATGGTATGTGATGTTTGTGTGCATGTGTGGTGTGTGTTTGTGTGGTGTCTGTGTGCTTGTGTGTATGTGGTATGTGTTTTTGTGGTGTGTGTGTGGTATGTGGTATTTGTATGTGTATTTGTGTGGTGTGTGTGGTGTGTGTGGTATTTAGTGTTGGGGGAGTATGTGGTGGTGAGTGTGTGTCTTTGTGTGTGTATGTCTGTGTATGGTATGTGATGTTTGTATGCATGTGTGGTGTGCGTTTGTGTGGTGTGTGTGTGTGTTTGTGTGGTGTGTGTGTTATGTGATGTGTGTATGTGCTTGTGTGTATGTGGTATGTGGTATGTGTTTTTGTGGTGTGTGTGTGGTATGTGGTGTTTGTGTGTGTGGTGTGTATGGTATATAGTATGTGTTTGCGTGGTGTGTGTGGTGTGTGTTTGTGTGTATGTGTGTATGTGGAGGTAGTACTTTCCCTTTCCGAAGGTGAGGACAGAGGATGTCGAGAGAGCAGCTTACAGATATGGAGAACTGAGCCAAGTGCAGTGAGGGGCCTGGGGGAACTTAATCTGCATCCCCCTCCCCAAATAATGTCCAGGATATTTCTTCCTGTTGCTCCAGAACTAAGAATGATCATTTAGTTTGTCTTTTAATCAAAGATAGAAAAAGTTTTCTGCCAAGTAACACTGATGCACAGCAATTTAATTAAAGGTCATATAAATGAAAAGCAACTTTATCTGTTAGGAAAGTATGTAAAATCTTCTAATCTTGTAAAAATTTTAAGTCAAAAAATATATAATCTCTACCTAATAAAAGCAACAAATTAAAGAAGTTAATTTCAGCATCAAGTTTAGAAGACAATGAGATTCTGAAATGGTGACCTGGAGAAGGAAGATAAAGACAAGCCTCTCCCCAGTTTGCTCAGCACCAAGAGACACACATCTCACTAATTTACCAGCACTGGGCTTGATTTGAGGGAAAAAAAATACAATGAGAAAGACTGTGGGAAAGAAAATCTCAGAAAAGAAAGATCAGCGTGCATTAGAAAGAGAATTTTAAAGCTGTAATTTGAGATATAGAAATCAAGTTTTATCCCAAAGATCAGATGGTTAAAACTTGACAAAAACAAGAAATGGGGAAAGGATTCCCTATTTAATAAATGGTGCTGGGAAAACTGGCTAGCCATATGTAGAAAGCTGAAACTGGATCCCTTCCTTACACCTTATACAGAAATTAATTCAAGATGGATTAAAGACTTAAATGTTAGACCTAAAACCATAAAAACCCTAGAAGAAAACCTAGGCAATATCATTCAGGCCATAGGCATGGGCAAGGATTTCATGACTAAAACACCAAAAGCAATGGTAACAAAAGCCAAAATTGACAAATGGGATCTAATTAAACTAAGGAGCTTCTGCACAGCAAAAGAAACTACCATCAAAGTGAACAGGCAACCTACAGAATGGGAGAAAATTTTTACAATCTACCCATCTGACAAAGGGCTGATATCCAAAATCTACAAAGAACTTAAACAAATTTACAAGAAAAATCAACCCCATCAAAAAGTGGGCAAAGGATGAGAACAGACACTTTCGCAAAGGAAAGACATTTATGCAGGCGAACAGGACACAAATGAAAAAAATGCTCATCATCACTGCCATCAGAGAAATGCAAATGTCAAAACCAGTAATGAGACACCATTCTCACACCAGTTGTGTAGAATGGCAATCATTAAAAAGTCAGGAAGACAGACAGGTGCTGGAGAGGAAGGCTGCCGAGAATTAAGAACGCCTGCTTTACACCTGGTTGTTGGCGGCACTCATGAATGTTCAACCCATTTATGGAGACAGCGTGTGGCAATTCCTCAAAGATCCTACAAACTAGAAATACCATTTGATCCAACCATCCCATTGTACTAGGCCGGTATGTTAACCCCAAATGCCGATCGTATAAATCATGCTGCTATAAAGACACATGCACACGTATGTTTATTGTGGCACTATTCACAATAGCAAAGACTTGGAACCAACCCAAATGTACATCAATGATAGACTGGATTAAGAAAATGTGGCACATATACACCATGGTATACTATGCAACCATAAAAAAGGATGAGTTCGTGTCCTTTATAGGGACATGGATGCATCTGGAAACCATCGTTCTGAGCAAACTATCACAAGGACAGAAAACCAAACACCACATGTTCTCACTCATAGGTGGGAATTGAACAATGAGATCACTTGGACACAGGAAGGGGAGCATCACACACCAGGGCCTGTCGTGGAGTGAGGGGAGGGGGGAGGGATGGCATTAGGAGATATACCTAATGTAAATGATGAGTTAATGGGTTTAGCACACCAACATGGCACATGTATACATACGTAACAAACCTGCACATTGTGCACATGTACCCTAGAACTTAAAGTATAATAATGAAAAAAGAAATCAAGTTTTATCCCATGTTAGTACTACCAGAAAATGCAGTGTTGCTACTTTAAAATGTAGGAGATGTCACTCCTGTATCACTTGAGGGAAATACGGTTTTGAGTTTAAGAAAAGTTCTAATATTTATATTTTTCTGTTTATATAATTAAATTCCAAAATAAAAAAAATCATTTTGCAACATGAGGATTAATGGAGCCCTCCTTAAGATTTGCCTGGGATGCTGCAACAAGTTGAGCTAAGGGATAAGATTCATTTAGAAATTCTACAGATGTATTCCTTTCTGGTGGGCGTGCACTGATATCATGTTCTTTAACTTGTATTTCCCTGATTAACAATTATATTAAGCACCTTTCAATATGAATAATAGTCTTGGATATCCTCTTTTGAGAAATTCCCATTTGATTGTTTTGCCCATAAAAAATAGGTTGTTTATCTCTTTTTTATTGATTTCCAGAATCTCTTTAAATATTCTGGAGTCATTTGTCTGATGCAAGTATTGCAAATATCTTGTCCCACTCTGGGTTTTCTCTTTAACTCTCTTAATGGTTAGTATGTTTTGATTGACACAGCTAAGTGTTTATGAGTCCAATAGATTAATTTTTTTTTTATAATCAGTGCTTTCCGAGTCATGTTTAACTTATTTTTTTTGCTTATCACAAGATCACAAAGATTCATGAATATTGATGCTCCTTTGAATTTCCATATAAGTATTACATTTAGTTTGTTAATTTCCTCAAATATATCTGCTGAGAATTTGATTGGAATTTTATTGATGCTATAGAAAATTTGGTGGAACTTAACAATATTGAGTATCTCAATAGAGACATATGCTCATTTATTTAAATCGTTTGCAGTCTCTAGTTTTCAGTGTCGAGTTATTGTACGTCTTTGATCATTTATTCTCAAGTATTTGATGTTTTAAAATGCTATGTGAAATAACATAACATTTCAGTTCGTTCATGTCCTCATCCTCTGTTGATAGCAAATAGACAGGCAGGTGGCAGCAGGTTGGCAGAACAGGACTTTTCTGTGCTTGTCCCCCTGCAGAAACCTCGATTTGAACATCTATCCTCATGCAAAACTACCTTGACAAGAGCTCACGAAACCAGGTGAGACATCACAGCACGTGCGGGTAGCACAGAAATAATAACAGACCATTGAAAAGGGTAAGAAAGCCGGGCGCGGTGGCTCACGCCTGTAATCCCAGCTCTCAGGGAGGCAGAGGCGGGAGGATAGCTTGAGCCCAGGAGTTCGAGACCTGCCTGGGTAATATAGCGAGACCCCGGTCTCCACAAAAAGGAAAAAAAAAAAAAAGAAAAGGGTAAGAAAGTTTCAGGTTACGCTCACCCAAGGGTAATCTAACCCCCAGGCAGCACAACATGGAGAGAAATGCTCACTGCTCGGGGGAGGGAGAAGGAAATGAGCA